CTCTGTATGAATACGGCTGGGGGGTCGTTTCTGGGGGTGTGGTTGGGTGCCCAAAGGGGGGCTCAGGGCTGTGACCCCCCTGTTTTGGGGGTGTGCTGGTGTGAAACTCCTTCCCCCACCCCGTTTTGGGGGTCTCTGTGTTCCCCTTTCTGATCTAAACTCCCTCGGGGGGCCCCTCTAAGAACGGAGCTGGGGAAGGTTCTGGCCCAGCCCTGCAGACCGGGGGGGTCTCCGGATGCTCGGGGGGGTCTCAGGCCTGGTCCCTCCCCGCGTTTGGGGGGGTGTTGGTGTGAAACTTCTCCGCCCCCCCGCCCCATTTTGGGGGTCCCCCCGGGGTGGGGGGGGCACAGCCGCTGCCAACGTGTTGCTGGCAGCGAAGTTGATGATGGAGCAGCAGAGGTGGGAATTGCGCCTGGAAAACACCACAGCCTTTGGAAGGGAAGGGAAGGAGGGGGGGGCGGGGGGTGCCGGTGGCCCCAGCGCGGCTTTTTTTTGGGCAGTAGCCGGGAAAAATTTGATTAGAGGGAGAGAGGGGTGTCGGGGGGGGGGGGGTTTTTTGGGCAGTAGCCGGGAAAAATTTGATTAGAGGGAGAGAGGGGTGTGAGGGGGGGGGGATGGAGGGGACGGAAGGAGCGGAGGGGGAACAATGGGATCTATTGAAAAGGCCGCGGCACAAAGCGGAGCGCGGAGCCAGGGCGATTCCAGCCCGCATTGTTGTCCCAGCTGTCTTCCCGGGGGAGGAGGAGGGGACAGCGGAGGAAGGGCAGCACCAGGATTTGCTTCCCAAGCGCCGGGGAGAGGCCCGTGGAGATGGAATTCCCTCCTGCCCGCTCCTCCGGACTGCCCGGCCCGCGGGGAGGGACTGAAACGCGGCAGGAAAAGAGCCTGGAACGGTAAAGATGCGGCTGTTCCCCCTCCGTGGAGAGGGCCGGGATGGAGAGCCGGGGAAAACGCTGGTTTATGGGAATCCGGAGAGCGTCTGGCGTGGAATTCCGCGGGAGATCGGCCCTGGAGCTGAGAAAGGTGCAGGAAGTGCCGGGGGTGGGTGGTGATACCGCACCTGGAATTGTTTTCTTCCTCTATCAAACCCGTAGCAGGGTCTGTGTTTGGGCCGGATTTTTTTTTTATTTTTTTTTTTAGCGTTACAGGTTGGGGGGTTTTTTTGAGTGTTACAATATTTCTGTAGCATCCAGCGCTAACTGAAAGCTTTGGAACAACCCTGGGAACTCCGGGAGAGGAGCCTGCACGTGAGCCCCGGGTTGTCCAGGGTTATTGTTTTTACTGTTCTGGGCTGTTCTTGGCTGCACAGACTTTTTTATTTATTCTCTTTTTTTTTTTTTTTTTTTTTTTTTTTTTTTTTTACCCCTGAGAGCTTTTATTGTTCACTCCTGCAGAGTGGCTGGTTGCAGAGCAAAGAGTAAAACCAGGTTGGTAACAGACTTTTGTGGGGGGAGCATCGACCTGCTTTGCTTCCTTATCCTTCGTCCTCAGCCCTGGAGTTCCTTCCAGTTTGGGGAGAGGTTTCATCA